AAACAGATATTTCAACGTGGGCCTACTTTGTTCATGTACTGTTGAGGTTAATTTCAGTTGTGTGATATAATGTATTTACAAAGTGTGAAGAGGAGGAATCTTTATAATAGGGAACCTGTTCAGGTCAATTAGAGTCAAATTACTAGCTTATTGGTTATGAACAAGACTTCACTTTAAAATAGGCAACATATTCTTAGATAGAAATACCTAATTAGAGTCCACGGCGGGTGTGGCAAGGTATACAGCACATCACCAACTACAAGAACAATAACAGCACAACGGTTGACGGGGACGCCTCACTGGCAGAGGAACTTAATTGTTTCTTTGCTCGTTTTGAGGTCAATGCAGTAGAGACGGACACAACAACCTCACCAGCATCCAACAGTCACACCCTCACTGCATGATGTGAGGGGTGTGCTCAGAGCGTTGAACCCGAGGAAAGCTGCAGGCCCTGATGGCGTGACGGGAAGGGTGTTGAAGGACTTTGCAGACCAACTTACGGAGGTCTTCACAAAGATCTTCAACCTGTCACTCTCCAAATCCATAGAGCAAATAGGTCTACAGAGGATGCCATCGCCACTGTTCTTCACAGTGCACTGTTCCACCTTGAACACCAGGGGAACTATGTGAGGATGCTCTTTGTTGATTACAGTTCTGCCTTTAATACAGGCAGATTGGTTTCCAAGCTATCTGACCTAGGATTTTCCCCAAACATCTGCCAATGGATTAAGGACTTCCTAACTAACCACCCCCAGACAGTGAGAATAGGCCCTCACCTCTCCTCCACCCTCACACTCAGCACCGGTTTACCACAAGGCTGTGCTGAGTAGGGTTGCAACATTCTGGGAATTTTCAAAGACGGAAACTTTCCATGGGAATTAATGGAAATAAATGGACATTTTTGGGAATAAACTGGGAATTTTCTAAATTGAAGGTTGGCTCTTCATAGGGAACTTAAACATAGTTGGGGAAAGTATATTTTAGCATAATCTTGACTAAAACAGATGCCATTCAAGTACACTTGAATATCCATGCCATAGCACACTGCTTACTGCAAGGCTATTGAGACCACACCCCCTACAGGCACTGTGCATTCCTCCATCACATGCACAGATGAGTAATATTTAACTCAACATTCCTGTTTTCGTTCTTCAATGAAACAAATAATTGTTCAATAACATAATTAAAAATTGTTCTGTTCTACTTAAAAAAAAAAAAATCTGTTGAAATGTCATGTTTTTGTTTAATTTTGCATTGAATATTTCCAAAATTCCCCAGCTTAACTTCCCATGGAAACGTTCCGCCCCTTTGCAACCCTAGTGCTGAGCCCCATGTTCTACTCTCCGTTATGACTGTGCCCCCACTCACCCCACCAACACCATCGTCAAGTTCGCGGACAACACAACTGTGGCACAGCCCCACCTAGTGTCAGCAGAGAGTATTAAAATAATGATTACAACAAAATGCAAAAAGAAAATATATATATATATAAAATATATTTTAAGATCATGTTTAATAATCTGATTCGTCTGTACATTGCTGTTTTAGTATGTGTTCTTCTAATTAGTGTCTACAGTGTGTGCCTATTGAGCTGTTTAGAACCATGTGGGACAAAACCCGATCCTGCCCCTCCCTCTCACTGTCTAAGTGAACGGTGACTGTAAAAACTACACTGCACATGCTCAGAGTATTTTCCTATTTAATGTGTGTGGCAAAAAATAATGACCATAGGGGCATAGAGCTGCCATCCCCACCATACGTTATCTCACATAATTCAGAGCTGATTGGCTGTAAGTACGTGTGCCGCAAAAAGTGTGGTGTGTGAAGAGGAGGAGAGAGACGCGTCCTAAAACCAGGAAGTAAGCTGCGCATGGCTTCCCTCGACAAAACAGCAATGAGATTTCTCCATAGGATTTTAGAAAATAGCTCAAAATAAGATCTGTGGGAAACGTAGCTGTTAGATAAATGTACGTTTTGTTCAGCCGGATAATATCCACATGTCTACCCTACTTTTATCATTTTCAAATCATAAATCCATCATTTAGATTTATGATAGACTTTTGAAACTACAAGAAGATAAGGAGGACTTTTACAAAAAAGTAATAGAGATTTTTGTCCAGAAGGATAGGCAAATTGACTTCATCTTCAAGTCAAGGTAAGACCTCAATTTTATTGAAAATGGGATCTTACTGAGAGAGAACAATTCAATATTTAAATGATAAAATTACATTTTTTGGGTATCCTTCTATTGAACTGTCTGTTTAAAATTAATTGAAGCATCAGACTAAAGAGGCTTTTGAAAATAATATTATATTTTGATTTAGGTCAGAATATAATATTTGTAAACCTGAAGAGTCAGTGCCAGTGCCTCAGCAGCCATGAACCTCACTGCAGAAGCTTATATATAGACATCTGAGTTTTTTGTGCCCCACCACTTTTGTACATATAGAAACGCCACTGGATGTTCAGATAATAACCTTGTTCTGAACTCCATAAAAACTAAATAACTCATTATAGACTTCAGGAAAAACAGCACAACACCAGATCCACTGTACGGCAACTGTGTGGAAAGGGTTCACGCCTTCAGGTTCCTCGGCACACACATTGCTGAAGATCTATCCTGGTCTTTCAACACGACAACATCTGTAAAAAAGGCCCAGCAGCGACTCCACTTCCTGAGGATCCTCAGGAAAAACAACCTGGAGGAGAAGCTTCTGGTGTCTTTCTACCGCTGCTCCATAGAGAGTGTTTGCTCTTCTGCCCTCCGGTGGACGCTACAGGTCAATTAAATCAAGGACAAACCGACTGAAAAACTGTTTCTACCCCAGAGCCATACGAGAACTGAACACCGTCAAACGCTGAACTAGCACACACACAGAAACAATTTGCAACTGCACTACTTTTTAATAGTTTTATTAATTTATTAACTGATCGACATCAGAGATGCCAAATATCATCCCTGTGTTTTTTATATTGTAAACTGTATTTAAATTATGTGCGGGCATGTATGCATGTTGGTATGGATGTGTTTATATAGATATACAGTTGGAATAAAAAGTATGTGAACCCTTTGGATTCTCCACACATAGCGTTGTGTGTTCCTTCCAAACAACTCAACTTTGGTTTCATCTGTCCACAGAATATGTTGCCAGTAGTGCTGTGGAACATCCAGGTGCTCTTTTGCAAACTTCAAACGTGCAGCAATGTTTTTTCTGGACAGCAGTGGCTTCCTCCGTGGTGTCCTCCCATGAACTCCATTCTTGTTCAGTGTTTCGTAGATCGTAGATTCGTCAACAGAGATGTTAGCATGTGCCAGAGATTTCTTTAAGTCTCTAGCTGACACTCTAGGATTCTTCTTCACCTCATTGAGCATTCTGCGCTGTGCTCTTGCAGTCATCTTTACAGGACGGCCACTCCTAGGGAGAGTAGCAACAGTGCTGAACTTTCTCCATTTATAGACACTTTGTCTTACCGTGGACTGATGAACATCAAGGCTTTTAGAGATAACTTTGTAACCCTTTCCAGCTTTATGCAAGTCAACAATTCTTAATCGTAGGTCTTCTGAGAGCTCTTTAGTGCGAGGCATGGTTCACATCTGGCAATGCTTCTTAAGAATAGCTAATTCAAAACTGGTGTGTATTTTTTATAGGGCAGGGCAGCTTTAACCAACACCTCCAATCTCGTCTCATTGATTGGACTCCAGGTTGGCTGACTCCTGACTCCAAGTAGCTCTTGAAGATGTCTTTAGCCTAGGGGTTCACATACTTTTTCCACCCTGCATTGTGAATGTTTACATGGTGTGTTCAATAAAAACATGAAAACATATAATTGTTTGTGTGGTATTAGTTTAAGCAGACTGTGTTTGTCTATTGTTGTGACTTAGATGAAGATCAGAACACATTTTATGACCAACTTATGCAGAAATCCAGGTCATTCCAAAGGGTTCACTTACTTTTTATTGCAACTGTATATTTTTTCGTATTATGTGGAAATGCACTACGAGGATTGCTTTTTTAAATTTCGTTGTACCTGGTGCGATGACAATAAAGGAATTCTTCTTCTTCTTCTTCTTCTTCTTCTATTGGTTATGAACAAGACTTCACTTTAAAATAGGGAACATGTTCTTAGATATAAATACCTAATTTTGAGTTATTTAGAGACAATTAACACTTATACGTTCATGTATTGTCACATAAGAATAGATCATATTTGTTAAGTGTTATTATGGGAGAATTACTATTCTTGTGGTACTACTGCCTTATTAGGCCCATATTGAGCAGCGCATATTAAGACCACAACTCATGTACAACAACTTCCTTACTTGCAATAAATAAGCACTAATTAGAGGGTTATTGAGGAAAAACTCTCAACTAATGGCCTATTACTTGTAGAATATGGTCATGTAGAATAAGGCATTAATAAGTGTTTTATAATGACTAATAAAGAGCCAATATACTGCTAATATGCATGTTAATTAACAACTAGTTGATGGTTCATTTGTGTAGCTTAATATAAAGTGTTACCGTAAGGAGAATGTACTCTCAAGTCACAACAACTATCTTTTTCCTGGTGTGGATCTCCAAATGTTCGAAATGCTACGGCATGGTTATTCCATGTAATAGAAGCTTTTAATAACTTCTGAACCTGAAGGACTTTAGATGGTACTGATCAAATTTGAAGTTAATTATAATATCTTCAAGGTCCTACGGCTTTCTGATCATACTTCAGTGATATCAGAAAAATCTGTGAGCAGAAAAACCTAAAACCTGTCACTCCGAGTTACCAGCAGTTGCCGCCATGTCGATGACTTAATAATGGCTTGTAGATGTCTTGGCAACACATTTGAGAATGTATCCATATGGAAAAACTGCTCTGGCATGGCATGGAAAATATTTTAATACGCACTATAAACAACGCCTGGAAGAAACTGAGATGGTACTGTACACCCTTGACACCCAGCGCCCAAATGTCGGTAAAAATGCTGCATGTGTACCCCTTACTTTGTACGGTTCTGGATCTTTTTCCACACAGGGAACAGGAGTTTCCTGATGAAGCAGACTGGTCCCAGCCTGAGGTGATGCACTGTCTGCAGAACCAGTGTCCACAGCTGGCAGAGACTGGATCCTTCAGGACGTCCTGACACAAAGCACAGATGGACAGCTGCTCCTTCAATGAAGCATGACGTTTCCTCTGAACTCTGTGAAGATAAACACATCTTTGATAGCACCTTTCGTTAGTGGTGGCCCTGTTTTTACTGATGGGTAAAACCCACATTCTAGATGATATTCCAACATCACTGTTCCAGTGTTGTAGGTAGGGTTAGGGGTTACAATTAGTCACAGTAATCAACCTAATGTGGAGATATTTGATGGCCGATACAATGCACAATTTGGTCTTATCATTTGTTACACAAATATTTGCGTAGACATTTTTTAACACAGTCCTGTGTAACAAAATGTTGGGTTGTCATTTCCCAACTGACTATGACATTTTATTCACCAATGGGCTAACTTTCTGGTTTCATTAGATCTTAGGGGTGTAACGGTATCCGTATTCACCCTGAACCGTCACGGTTCGGACGTCACGGTTCGGCACACGCATTCACACGACGAATACGCCTTTTTTATGAGTGGGAAAAAAGTCTGTCACTCAGGGCAGTATCCATTACACTATATAAAATATAGGGGGCGGTATTGCACCTAAAAGCTGTATACCAGCCGCCCTTAACCTGTTATGCCCTGAGCCTGTTTTTCAGGTCTCAGGCTCGAAAATGACATTCCCAGAACAAATGACCATATCTTCCCTTCTAAAGGGGTTACATTAATAATCTTTTTTCTCAAAGTAATGATAAACCTGTGAGTTGGATGTAGAAGAGTCAGAATCAATATAGATGTTTTTTATTTTAAAGAAAATTCAGATTGAACATAGTAAAAAACTGTAAATTATAGTGTCCGTCCAAACATTATTTTTTACTTATATTGAAAACTACCCTTGGATGATGGGTTAGTAGACTAAAAGCTTTAGGAATCCAAAGTACAACATATAATAAGTCCCCTGTATCAAGATTGATGCAAAACAAGTGACATTTGACCTTTTTAGAGAGATTTAGCACAAAAAAAACACTTCTGGGGTCATTTGGGTGGATTTTCCATATCTCTGGCCCCCCTTGGTCGATTTTGACGAATGCAATCTCTTTCTGACCGCTAGAGCCAATGGAATCGAAGGGGAATTTCCCCACACACACAAATTGTAAATAAAAAGGTGGAGGCTTTGCGCATGCAGGTTTGCATCAGAGCGAACCTATCTCGCTCTGACATCTGGAAACGGAAAAGCAGGTTTATTGCTTATGGATTATCAGAAATCATTTCAAAGGGACACAGACACATTGGATTAACCTATGGATTAACCTTCAGCAGCGTTGTTATCGTTTTAATACCATTGAAGACCACTTTTGACCAGACAACGACCAAGGTAAGCCATTTTGCCATTTTTAGCTACCTAGCACCACATGTTGTGATGTCTGTTCTTGTTACTATGTTCGCGAGTTCTTATCATGGAGTGATAATGTAGGTACCGATCGATTCTGTGTCTTCTCACGATGCTAATCGATGGGTTGGACGTGCAGCTACGATAAGTAATAAGGGTCTTATGAGTGAGTTTCTGTGCAGTAATGCGTTAGCATTTATTTGCTCGTGGCTAATTTAGAGGCTCAGTGCTAGCTTTGTGTTTTTTTTTCTTTATTGAACTGTGCTTCACTCATGTAATTCTTTTTTTAAAAAGCTATCAGATAACATTAAAACTGAATCCTTTTCAGGTCAGTTGACAGTGAACATACTCTTACTTTGTGTCTGAGGGTCCAGGCTCATTGCTGAAGGTTAGAGGCCATTCTTTAGACCGGTCACTCTTCAGAGACAGACAGCTGGAGCCTGAAGACTGTGCCCTCCGTCTGTGGAAACAACAAAAATTGTACACATACATCTGTGGCAGCTCTGGCTCACAAGTTGAATGGTCGGCCACCAATTAGAGGGTTTGCAGCCCCTGCAGTCAACATGTCAATGTGTCCTTAGACAAGATACTTCACCCCAAATTTCTCCCGATAGCCAATAGTGTGTGAATGTTAGTTTATTTGGTTAATTGGTCAACAGTATTGAAGTGTATTTAACTCGCTTAGAATAAAAATGTCAGCTAATTAACATGTGATGTATCGCTGAAAGTCGCAAATAACTGGGTCTTGGATGTCTTGGGACTGTTCTCATTTTGTTGGATACGCGATCGAATGCAGGCCTTTTTAACTGCAAGCTGACAACAACACAGCACTGGAGGAAATGTACCATGTTATTGACATCACAGAGACTTCACGGCCAGAGGCTGCTTTGACTTTAACACCAATCAGACCACATCTCACTGCTGCTGCCGCCCGAAACTCAAATGGGACAGGTCCATGAGGCGGTTTATACAGTGCTGGAGTGAACAGTCAGATTCTGCTCTGGAGCACTGCTTTTAAACCATAGAGTGGTGTGTGTTTGAGAACGAAACCATTTACACACACACAGATGCGATCATTTGCTATATTGGAAAATGCATCGATGATCAAGTACCGGAAATTACTGTTTGACCATTCCCGAACCAGAAGCCCTAGATAAACGGCAAGGTCTGTGCCAAACTCAAAGCATGTGGATCTTTGGACGAGTAAAGGAACCCCAGCTACACACTCCGGAGAGCCATTAGAAGTGCAACGAGACAATAAAGAGAGAAAGTGGAGTCTGACTACAAAGGCTTTAACATCAGCAATATGTGGGCGGGACTAAGAACAATGACTCAGCGGCTCAGGAAGAAAGCCCTCGGGATTATCAAAGACCCCCATCACCCCAGCCACAAACTGTTCTGTCTGCTGCATGCAGACTAAAACCACTCAGGCCAGAAGACTGCTTTACTCCTGAGCTTGCACTATTTTAATGTTTTTTTGGTTTGTGTCTTATATATATATATATGTTGTATTGTTGGAGGAACCTGTGACCCGAGATTATTATTGTACAACTACCCTGTAGCTGTGTATATGAGAAATAAACGCTGTGTACATTTGAACCTTTGAGGAACACAGCAAACTCAATAAAACCTTTTTATTGGACTCTATAGTATTTCTTTATTGAACTGTGTTTCACTTGTGTAATTATAAAGAAAAAAGCAATCAGATAACATTAAAACTGAATCCTCTTCAGGTCAGTTTATAGCAGAAACAGACTCTTACTTTGTGTCTGAGGGTCCAGGCTCATTGCTGAAGGTTAGAGGCCATTCTTTAGACCGGTCACTCTTCAGAGACAGACAGCTGGAGCCTGAAGACTGTGCCCTCCGTCTGTGGAAACAACAAAAGTTTTACACATACATCTGTGGCAGCTCTGGCTCACAAGTTGAATGGTCGTCCACCAATTAGAGGGTTTGCAGCCCCTGCAGTCAACATGTCAATGTGTCCTTAGACAAGTCACTTCACCCCAAATTGCTCCCTAATAGGCAACAGTGTCTCAATGTTAGCTTGCACTATTTTTATGTTTTTTTTGTTTTGTGTCTTATATATATTTTTGTTGTATTGTTGGACGAACCTGTGACCGAAGATTCTCATTACACCACTACTCTGTAGCTGTGTATACAACAGATACAACCTGTGTACCTTTGAACCTTTAAAGAACACAGCAAACTCAATAAAAACTTTTTTATTGGACTCTATTGTATTTCTTTATTGAACTGTGCTTCAAGATTAAATATTCAACAGCTTTATTGTCATATGCATAGTAGCTACAGTGTAGTTATGGCAATGCAAATCGTATGTCCCGAGCTCCTCACTCAATGCAAATATAGTAGGACATAAAACAATAAGAGAATTAAAAATAACAATAACATTGAAATAGTGCAAAATGAAACGGAGTAGATTAGAGCAGAATAAAATAGTGCAGATTATGTTGCAAGACCAATGCGTAAGTAATGCAGATGAATGCAACTACATGTCAGAAAAATAAATAAATACAATAAGCTAAATAATGCTAAATAAATGTGCTTCACTCATGTAAATAAACAGCTATCAGACAACATAATCCTTTTCAGGTCAGTTGACAGTGAACAGACTCGTACCTTGTGTCTGGAGGTCTGGGCTCATTACTGGAGATGGAGTCGTCCTCCTCTTCTTTGAAATCACTCATCTTCTCAAGTCAGAGAGGTACACTGGTAACACTGGACACATACACACATACATGCACACTTTATAACGATTTTAGTTTTTTTAAACCTTGTATCAGGTTCACATTTTGCACCCTTCGGTTTATTTCGGGTCAAAGTGATCTGGGACATTGTTGGGGTCTAAAAGAAATACAGGAATAAAAAAATGACATTCACAATCTGTAACACATACTGTCTTTATCTCAAATCCTAACAACAAGGTAACAGTTGTGATTACAGTAATACATGCAAATACTCTCAGCTAGACCCCAATAAACAATGGAAATGTCATTCGTTTATTATTTTGATGAAGTTAAAGTTTATGTAAAAGTCCAACTATTATCAACTATAATAAAGAGGTAAATTGCAGTTTCATGCTTATCTTACTCCGTAAAGCACTTTGGGCTGCATCATGCATGAAAGGTGCTTTATAAATACGTTTATTATAATATTATTATCTAGGAAAGTATAATTAAACAACTTTGTATTGATATTTTATTTATTAACTGATTTTGATAAGCGGCTTTAATCGGCTAATTTGGCCCTGCAGTGGCCTTTGCAGGAGGTGAACCCACCGGAGCTGAAAACACCGACACGTGTGTGTGTGTGTGTGTGTGTGTGTGTGTGTGTGTGTGTGTGTGTGTGTGTGTGTGTGTGTGTGTGTGTGTGTGTGTGTGTGTGTGTGTGTGTGTGTGTGTGTGTGTGTGTGTTGTGTGTGTGTGTGTGTGTGGTGTGTGTGTGTGTGTGTGTGTGTGTGTGTGTGACTAAGTGTGTTTTTGTGTGTCTCAGAATTGTACACGGATCAAATTGACCTGACATAAATGTGTGGGGGCATTTTAGCAGCCATTTTTTTCTTCTACATATTCTTTACAGAAAATAAGCAACAAATAAATTACCCTTGTACCATTTTTCGTTTAGTTAAAACGTAACACAAAGGTTAATCAAAAACATATAAATGATTAATTTAACCTAAATTATTAAACAATAGTTAACATTTAAAGAAGTCACGTTGGACTCCAGCCGTGATGTTCATTCTTCATCAAGACTGTGTTGTTCTGTCGAAGAGTATAACAGACTGAATAATAATCTGGTAAAAACCCAGCAGACACTGGGTTTAACACTCACCCTGTTTTTTCCTCCTGCTTTGACGAAGTGTGAAATGGAGTGTGCCTTTCTGTTTCACATGCTGCAGCCTCTGTCTATTTTTCCACTCTCTGCCCTCACCTGATATCAGCTCCTATCAAGGCAAGGCAAGTTTATTTATATAGCACCTTTCAACACAAGGCAATTCAAAGTGCTTTACAAAAATGAAAGACATGGAGAGCATTAAGAAACATATTATAAAATGGCATTTAAAAACACTCATTTAAAAGCAAAGAAAATAAAACATGAATAACTCAGGCACATGAATAAAAGTTACAGTGCAGTCTAAGATGTGAATAGTTCAATTAAAAGCAGCGGCAAAAAGAAAAGTCTTCAGCCTGGATTTAAAAGTAGTCAGAGTTGCAGCGGACCTGCAGGTTTCTGGGAGTTTGTTCCAGATGTTTGGAGCATAATAACTGAACGCTGCTTCTCCATGTTTAGTTCTGACTCTGGGGACAGAAAGCTGACCAGTCCCTGAAGACCTGAGAGATCTGGATGGTTCATCATTTAGCAGGAGGTCAGAAATGTATTTTGGGCCTAAACCATTCAGTGCTTTATAAACCAGCAGCAGTATTTAGAAATCTATTCTTTGACACACAGGAAGCCAGTGTAAAGACTTCAGAACAGGAGTGATGTGATCCACTTTCTTAGTGTTAGTGAGGACTCGAGCAGCAGCGTTCTGAATCAGCTGCAGCTTCCTAATAGATTCTTTAGTGAGACCTGTGAAGACACCATTGCAGTAGTCGAGTCTACTGAAGATAAAAGCATGGACAAGTTTCTCCAGATCCTGCTGTGACATTAGTCTTTTAATCCTAGATATGTTCTTTAGGTGATAGTAGGCTGATTTAGTAACTGTTTTAATGTGACTGTTGAAAATCAGGTCAGAGTCCATGACTACAATAGACTTCTGGCTTTATATGTTGTTTCGAACATTGCAGACTGAAGCTCACGCCCCTCTTATCAGCTTGATAACGATTGAACACCTCTGACTTCTGTATCTGACCTCGAATCCAGCCCGTGTGTATCTGGGTTCCTGTTTGCCTGTTCTGGTGGCTGCTAGGCGTTTTACCAGTTTGTGTTCCAGTGTGAGTTTTCTCTATCTCCTGCTGTGAATTGACCCTGCCCTGAACTGCGAGGCAACATCAGTTCTCCTGAGTTGGACATTGAAAACTGCGTATTAAGATAAGATGGATCTTTATTAATCCCCGTGGGGAGATTCAGTAGTTAAACAGCAACAGGGTAAGAATGAAAAACAGCACAGATTCACACAGATTAGAGATTAATACAATTAAAGATAAAAATCAAAGATAAAAAATTAAAATGATAAAATAACTATAAAATAAGAAATTAATTGAAATGAACACATATTGGGACATATATACATATCCGATATACTTACATGTGTGTGTGAAAACTGTGTATTTTATGTCCAGTATTTGTGTTACGATTATTGTGTTATGTCACGTTTTATACGTCTTGTTTTGGGTGTTTTGCTGTTCTCCCTGTCATGTTTTCCTCTTGGTATATTGTCTGGTCCTTCTTCCTGTGTTTTTTCCCCTGTCGTTAGTTTCCCTGGTGTGTCTAGTTGTCTGATTGTGTTCACCTGTGGCCCTTGTGTTTCTCCCCCCCTGCCTGGCTGTTTCTCGTCTTGTGATTACCCCTCCCTGTATTTAGTCTTGTCTCTTCCTGTGTTCAGTGTTGGTTCGTCGTTTGTCTGTGACTGTGTTCACCGAGGAGTGTTCTGATTGTCCGTGTGCCATATCCTTGAAATGAAGGTATTTTCAGTTTTTTCTGCATTTGGGTCCTGCCTGCTTCACTCAACGTAACAGAACGAACCAACCACGATATGGGCCCAGCAGATCCGTTTGAGCAGGAACTAGTGGATTATACCTTTTCTTTGTCTGACTGCGCTCATCGATGGATAGGAGCGGTCAGGGTTCAGCAGCGAGATGCTGCTCTGGCAGATGCAGTCCACCTTACGCTGAGGAATCAAGATTTGGTTAAATTCTTACCGGCCTGGCTTTTGGATTACCTCACGGTTTGTTTTCCCGTTCCTGATAGACCCAGGTCTCCAGATTCCCTTTTTGATACCACACGCATCGGTGTGGTCCGTCTGACGTCAGCCCCTGCTTCTCACCCATTGTTTGCTACAGTCCAGGAGTCATTCGCTGGTACTCGTCTGGCTTTTGGAGGTCCACGGAGCCTCCAAACGGCTCCTAAGAGGAGTCGCAATGCCAGGTTAGCAGCATGAGCCCAAAAGGCCATGGTTCCAGAACCAGTTCAGCCCCCAGCAGCCATGGTCCTTGCTCCAGAACCGGTCCCGGCAGCCATGGTTTCGGCTCCAGAGCCGGCCCATTCAGCCATGTTTCCGGCTCCAGAACCGGACCTTACAGCCATGTTTCCAGCTCCAGAACCGGATCTTACAGCCATGATTCTGGCTTCAATTCCGGCTCCAGAGCCGGCCCATTCAGCCATGTTTCCGGCTCCAGAACCGAACCTTACAGCCATGATTCTGGCTTCAATTCCGGCCCCAGCAGCCATGGTTCCAGACCCAGTTCTGGCCCCAGCAGCCATGGTTCCAGACCCAGCTCTGGCCCCAGCTGCCCTAGTCCCATCCCAAGTCCCTTCTCCAGTCCCACCTCTAGTCCCTTCCCTAGTCACTTCTCAGGTACCAACTCTAGTCCCATCTCAAGTCCCTTCTCTAGTCCCTTCTCTGGTCCCCTCTCTAGTCTCTTCTCGAGTTCCCCCTCTAGTCCCTCCTCAGGTCACTTCTCTAGTCCCTTTTCTAGTCCCTACTCAAGTCCTTTCTCAAGTCCTTTCTCAAGTCTCTCCTCTAGTCTCTCCTCTAGTCCCATCTCAAATCCCAACTCTGGTCCCATCTCAAGTTCCCTCTCGAGTCCCCTCTCCAGTTTCCTCTCAAGTCCCCTCTCAAGTCACCTCTCGAGTTCCCTCTCGTCACCTCTCGAGTTCCCTCTCAAGTCACCTCTCGAGTTCCCTCTCAAGTCACCTCTCGAGTTCCCTCTCATGTCACCTCTCGAGTTCCCTCTCAAATCCCCTCTCGAGTCCCCTCTCGAGTTCCCTCTCCAGTCCCAATTCAAGTCCCAATTCAAGTCCCTACTGAAGTCTGGGGGTCCTGCCAACTCCATGTCCTGTCCCGTTGGAGGTCCCGCCGTCTACTCTCCTGCCGGGGGTCCTGCCAGCTCCTTGTCCTGTCTCGTTGGAGGCCCCGCCGACTACTCTCCTGCCGGGGGTCCTGTCAACCCTTTGTCCTGTCCCGTTGGAGGTCCCGCCGTCTACTCTCCTGCCGGGGGTCCTGCAAGCTCCTTGTCCTGTCTCGTTGGAGGCCCCGCCGACTACTCTCCTGCCGGGGGTCCTGCCAACCCTATGTCCTGTGCCGATAGAGGTTCCGCTGGGGGTCCTGCCGGCTCCATGTCCAGTCCCGTTGGAGGTCCCGCCGACTACTCTCCTGCCGGGGGTCATGCCAACCCTATGTCCTGTCCCGTTGGAGGTCCCGCCGACTGCTCTCCTGCCGGGGGTCCTGCCAATCCCGTGTCCTGGTCCTCTTCCATGGGGGATCCTGCCGAGGCCTGTCCCACCAGCTCCGGTTCCTGTCCGGCCGACACCGGGTCCTGCCCGGCCTTCGGCGCTGTCCCGTTAGCGCCTTCCTGCCCGGCCTCCGGAGCTGTCTGGTCTTCGCCCTCGAGCCCGGCCCCCTGAGAGTCGCGGTCTTCGCCCTCGAGCCTGGCCCTCTGAGAGCCTGGCCCTCTGAGAGCCTGGCCCTCTGAGAGCCTGGCCCTCTGAGAGCCTGGCCCTCTGAGAGCCTGGCCCTCTGAGAGCCTGGCCCTCTGAGAGCCGCAGTCTTCACCCTCGAGCCCAGCCCCCTGAGGGCCACGGCTTTCGCCCTCGAGCCCGGCCCCCTGACTTTCCCGGCCGCGGCCCTCGCCCTCATGCTCGGCCCCCTGACTTTTCCGGCCGCGGTCCTCACCCTCATGCTCAGCCCCCTGAGTTCGCCCGCGGTGGCCTTCGCCCCTCCATAACCCCCACCTTGGACTCTGTCTTGCCCCCGGGTCGTCCGCCCGAGTCCCCCTTCTCGGCTTCTGCCTTGCCCCCGGGCCGCCCGCCCGAGATCCCTTACGGGTCCTCCGCTGTGCTCCTGGGTTGTCAGCCCAAACCCGTCCTCCTGACCCCCTCCACCCACCCTGGTGGCCCTAGTTTTGTGAAAACGCCCCGCTCATCAAACTAATGCTATGGTCCAGCATGCTGCAATTGGGTCCTTACTACCCTTGTTACACTCTGACTTCATTTTTGTCAGTTGCTCTCAAGTTACGCAACTCCAGGAAGTGATGATGAACTTGATGTTTATTTCGTTAAAGCTTTTATATTGATGATACATATTGAATAAAGCATCTATTTGTTATGTATACTTTCCATCAACTTTTATTTAAGGAAAATATAGGAGTAGCCTGTATCAACTTCACCTTAAATCTGTGTGATTTCATTCATTTAAAAATGTGGATAAAGACACTTTTAATGCACCTGCAGCGTAAAATAATGCAATTTGAACGGGGAAAAACATTTATAGTATTTCTATCTATTATATATTTGCTTATATATTATAGTATTGTTCACTATTAGACTTATAATTTAACTTTAAATAAAGTTGTTATTTTGTATGCAGCATCCTCTCTCTCTCTCTCCCTCTCTCTCTATCACAGACACACACACGCGCACACACACACACACACACACATAGAGAGAGATCGTCTCAGCTCAGGGACTGAAGGACACAGTAAAGCGCAGCTGATAAGCGGCTTTAATCGGCTAATTTGGCCCTGCAGTGGCCTTTGCAGGAGGTGAACCCACCGGAGCTGAAAACACCGACACACTTCCCGGGGTGTGACCGCAGACACACTCCGGCTGCTGTCCACTCTTTCATCGAAGGACACACAGATATCCGCTTCAACTTTCCAATCTTTTAAGCTTTGGATCGATGTGTTTTTACTTTGTCACGACGTGAAGAAGAGGGGAAGTGGAACTTTTGAGCAGCTGTTCAATAATGATGAGTTAGGGGTGTCTTATTTTGCAAAAGCAACCTGTTTTACGAACAGTTCCTTTGCGTAAAGAGCTCACCACAGTAGATCTGAAGAGCATAATTGAAACTGTGAGCAGCTGTTTAATCATCATGAGTTAGGGGTGTCTAACTTTATCAAACCAACCAGTTTCCACCCTGTTTTACGCACTAGTTTTACGCACCTGTTTCCATCCTGTTTTACGCTCAGTTCCTTTGCGTAAAGTGCGCACCGGAGCTTCTTTTTTTGCTCCATGACGACCCCACAGTAAGGGGACCATAGTCCGGCCCGGGCTTCATGAGAGCCCGCGGGCCGGACCGTGGGGCGGACATGGCTGGGAACCTGAGCGGAGAGGTGGCCCCGGAGGCGGCCTCGGGGGGTTACAACGTGCCGGCCCTGGTGGTTGGGGTGCTGCTGATCGTGGTGATCATCGGCGGGAACCTGCTGGTGTGTCTCAGCGTGATGACGGAGAAGGCGCTGAAGACCACCACAAACTACTTCATCGTGAGTCTCGCGGTGTCGGATCTGATGCTCGCGGTGCTCGTGCTGCCACTCTTTGTGTATTCCGAGGTGAGATCGGAAATCAAGATTCAAGGCTTGTATTGTCATGTGCACATATAGCTACAGTGTAGTTATGTCAATGAACAGCTTAGGTCAGAGTCGCCTCCAACAGTGCAACACAATAAAACATAATAGTGCAAGTAAATAAAAATAAAATAAAACGAAAAGTAAACAAACACTGAAATGCAGCGAAAAAAAGGCAGAGTTGGAGAGGAGCAAAAGGAATCACCGAGAACCCGAAAAATATATTAGGACGATTATTGTTTACTGCGTGCAGAGGTTTGGTTGGTTTCTGTTAGATTTAGTCTAAAATGCCACCTTAATTTAAAGTTAAGTGTTTGTTTCAAATTAAGCGAATGTAAGGATGTTTAGTTCATCCAGGATGTTTGCACAACATATGTTAGTAAGCAGTGGTGTAAATGAACTAACATTTACTCAAGTAAACAATATTGAGGGAAAGTAATACACCTCATTTACTTAAGGGGTCATTTGGAAATGTGAATATATTTTATGCAGATCCAGGATGCATTACACAACATCTGCAGAATGTTCTTGGTATCAGATCATTTATAAAAATGAAAGTCAATGGCCCTTAAACCCTACTTAACTTGACCATTAACATGTTAACTAAGGAGAAAGCATTCTTTATAAATGTTTTTCTTAAGTACTTTATTGTTGCTTTTCGAGAATGTAATGGATATCTTAATTTGAATCAAAGTGTTGGCGTGATTTCTGGATTGAATTGAGGGTTTTTTGTTCATCCCGGATGCTTTACCCAACAGCTAATTGATAAGATAATTAAGGTGAAATTATTGTGCCCCCTATCAGTTTGTTAAATATTAAAAAATAAGGTGAAATCTTTGTACACCTCTGAAATAGATTTTAAGGGGGTTGGTAATAGCTTTTGAAAAAAAAAGGTGTCTCCACCTTAATTTAAATTCAATTAAATATGTGTTTAATTTTGTGTCTTTGCTTCTCATTTTATTTACTCAAGCCGCTCAAATATAAATATAATATTTACATACAATAATCTCAAATCATCGGAATTTATGCAACTTTGGATAAGATATGGCTTTTTCTTAAAGTCTCTGCAAAATTCTGATATATCTTTTGGAAAACTTTAGTGACTTTATAAAATTGCCAAATGATTGTATTACTTGAATCCTCCAGAAAGTTGATTTAGAGTCAAATCACTGGCTTTTTTCTGGAGCTTTTTAACTAAAGATGAGAGAAACCCATCCGGTACTTCCCCTCTACGTCATGGCCCCGCTCCTTTTTTGGGTGAAAACATTTGCTGCCATTTGACTGGCTATAAAAACAGATCCTGAAGTTTTTGGCCAATCCCATCCAAGAATTAAGAATACTGTGCCATTTTTACAATCTACAAAGAGTCCAGTGATGGTCAGTTAGGCAAACTAATGTCATTGGAGATTGATGATTGACGTCAATATTTAGTTAATGAAATCAATACAGGATCAATGTCCTGTAAGTCTGCCATTGGATGAGTGGCAGGCAGCAGCTAACACTTAAGATTCCCTATGGAGCATACAGTCACTACTTTTACTTTTTACATTACAACTGTTTACTTTGCCGATTGACATTAGCCTCATTAGCATCGTTAGCTGTGAGGATTCTTTGTTTTCATTATAAAAAGGGCGGGGCAGTTACTTTAGCCAGGCAGTATCTTAAACTGGCATTGAGGAAAAGTGGTGCTCAGAATATAATATATAATGGGGATGTATGACATTTGGGGAAGTAAATACATAAGCTGATGAAGATCAGGCTTTACGCTCAAAAGCTCCAGAACAATTGAGTAAGTGGGGCTTGAGGGGGGGTTTCTTTTGTTGTCATTTATGTTTGGTAAAAAATAGAACCATTAGACTCAGATGGATAAATTATTCAAATCCCCAACACGACCCAAAAACCCAAATCCATGTGTTGTTGATAGGTCTCATTGAGAAAACAGCTCTCTTTTCCAAGAGAGTCCTGGCCAAAGATAGGCAGCAGCTCAGTTACAGACAACAAGATCAGCCAAAGCATTTACAGACACAGCGGCCTGCTACAAAGTCATTTGGAGTCGCTTTGAGTCTGAGACCAGTTCTCTGAGCTTCAGCTCATTTTGCAGCTGGTTCAAAAGCCACAGGAGCATCGTAATCAAACGCCTTCTTTCCCAGTTCAGTACAGACTTTTGGGACAGTAGGAACAAGTCCTTGGAGCGGTATAATAATCATTTACAATTTTCTAATCAAAACATTCATTTAATTTATGGGTATATTTGACAGATGTTTTATTGTTAAATGATCCATATATATTTTTTAAATCTATATTTATCAGTGTTTTATTTGACATCAGTGATCATGGTTTTAACCCTGCGTACTGTCCCTTTAACAATCGGGATTCTAGCCGACTTTCAGCTGCAGCCCCGCCCCCTTTATGACGTCACTAAGTTCGTTTAATTTTAAAGGTCCCATGTCATGGCCATTTCTACTGATCATATCACCTCCTGCTGAGCATCACTGAAGTTAATACTAGTAAAAAACAGTAAACGTTATCAGCTTCAAAAGGCAGTTACTAGTTACTACAGAAACAGGTTCAAAGCTCAAGGCTACTTACCTCAGTGTGTACAAATGATATAAGATGAAATATCTAATTGTCATGCCTTTTATAAGCAACACTTGTAACATAACACCAGATCCCTTGCTTTGGACGGTCCAGAACAAATCTAATATTTAGATTCTACTTTGTTTAATAGAGTCAATTATAAAGATGTTTTCAAATACAGGAAATATGAAAATAAGTATAAGCTAATGCTAGCTTTGGCTGTGTGACTACCCGATTTGCATTGCGCATGCGCGAGATTGTCCGCCATATTGGACAGCTACATAGGCAACCAAAATAGGACATTTGTTTCGCAAAGCATACAAAAAAAACACAAAAAACCCAACAACATTAATCTGAACGAGAGATATGAGTTAATGTTATTACAATGTGACTTCACTATTATTTAACAACTACTTTTATTGGGTTAAGTACAATCTCAGAATAAGTGAGAAATTGATTTAACTTCTGTTAGACAGCTATCATACTGAAGACATATTTACAATTGCATAAAATATTTTTGTAGAGATATTTGAGACGTTTATGACTCGCGCATGCGCAATGCAAATCGGGCAGAGATGCAAATCGGGTAGTCACAGGCTGTATGCTCTCTAACCTAACTTAACCAGAGTTTACATTGCAGTTGTTTTGTGGCTGTTGCTAATGTAAATGTTGAGGTTTTTATCTTAACTGACACATTTCTATTGTGTAATATTCTTTATATGGTCAAATGGATGTATTACAGTCAGAATCAGATTTTAATCCAACTTTGACTAAATGTTTAGTAAGTGATATGTCTGTAGTGAACTCACCAGTGTTTGCAGAGTCCTGCTGTGTTGTTGAGAAAAAGCTGCTGGATTCAGTTGAGTGTTTCTTCAGAGAAACAGAGACGTGTCTCGGCTGCTGCTCTGCTGTCGCTCAGACAAACAACAGCTTTCATTTCCGGGAAATATAAACTCTTCTCTTACAGTGTGGTTTAACCTGTCAGTGGCAGTTTGCCAAGAGGAAGTGGAGGAAGATATATTGAGGCTTGTTATTTAACTTTGTGACGATGCATTTTACAGCTGATCCAAGAGGCTTTTCAAATAGTGTATTGAGCATAAGTAGGAGTATGTTCTCAATACATAAAGAACATCTCTTTACACATCTGGAGATTTATAGCTATATTTCACAACGCTGTGTTATGGTCCCTGTTTAAGAGCAGCTGGTGAAACATTTCCTGTTTGAAAATGGGTTTGTACTTAAAGGTCCCATGTCATGGCCATTTCTACTGATCATAATTCCATTGTTGAGGTCTACTAGAATAGATTTATATTGATTAATGTTCCAAACTCACATTGGTTTCTCATACAGCATCTCTGTATAGTATGTGTATTCACTCTCTGTCCTAAACGGCTTGTTGGAGCTCCTGCCCCACCCCTCCCTGTGAGCCCAGTGTGCTCTGATTGGTCGGTACGTTGCGAGGCTCGTTGCTGCTCGCCGCAGCTGCGAGGAGCAGACAAGTTTCCGGGTCGGCGATACAGCGGGACAGCGTGAAACTCATCCTGAGCACACACAAACACTCACAGCTGAAGTAAAAACAATACGTGTGGCTTGATATTGAGTAAGAACAAGGTTTATAATGCTGTGAGAATGGGTCTGTGGAGAGCATTTCTCCGCCATCCCAACTCGTCTATTACCAGCGTTCAGGGAGCTCTATACAAGTCAATGGGACTCCCTGTTAGTTAGCCAAGGGGTCCTGGTGTGTGAGGTGCTCCAAGGATTGGTCCATTTGGGCCAATCCGGTCATTTGTTGTTGATCTGGGTGTTCACACGTCACAGAACCCAGGAAGTAAACAATGGAACATGAGAAATGTCCAACGAGGCGTTCTGGGGCAGCAGACAGGTATTTTCTGTGTTAGAGTTTTACTCGCTACAGGGTGTACTTTGAGGGTTTGTGACTGCAGACCATTTACATGCAGAAAAACCTTCATAACACACAAGGGGACGGGTAATAACCAGAAAAGCATGACATAGGCCCTTTAATACAATATGATCTTAATATATTGTATTATTAATTAACTCAGTAATTATTACGCTTACCCAAGCTCACTGGAAACTACCCTGTTTTTTTGCAGCGATCACGACTGACATCATATTTTTATAATAACAATTTAGTTAAAGTTTGAACACAGTTACAATCAGTCTTTGTCTATTTGAGGACACCAGATGAACTGTACATTCCTCCGTAGGTCGTCTCACATCCGGGGTCGAAGGTCAGCTGAAGGGGCTCCTGAAACAACAATGGGGATTTAGGAAATCCATGAAGACAATAACAACAAGTCTGTGTTTGTCACATAGCGTTGATTCTCTGGAGCCTGTGCGTTTGTTTATCCATGCATCATGTTCTTTCAGTCATCACAGTTCACCTTTTGTTTGTGTGGTTATCTAAACTGCTTTTGTTTACAACATTGGAGCACAACAAGTAATTTGTCATAGATATTATATTAATAAGTCAGAGCTATTATGAGAGAGCTTTTATTAAAGAGAACACTTTAATGTTTCTTTAATTAAGCCCCAAAGACCCCTTCGGCGGGTCTTTTTTTTCTCACGACACTGTGTCTCAGGGCATCTTAATATTTAAAAACCTATTAATGTGTTATACCAGATTAACGGAAATAATCTCAGCTAACTGACGATACAAACCATGTTTACCAAAACAAAACACAAGTCTCATAAGAAGCATCTAAATGACCCCTGAGCGAAAAATGCTAACGCACTTTGGCACAGAACTCAAGATAAAGATACCCTTATTACTTATCGTAGCTGCACTTACAAGATATCCGATTAAAGCTGAGATTCCACAGATCATTTTAGTATAGTATCATCACTGAGCGATCCGAACTCGCGAACAGGGCAAGCAAACACAGACATCACAACACGTACCTTTACGGAGCTTTTACGGGAGATCGTCTCACCGTAGCTGTCAATCTGATCAAAAGACGTGTTCAATGGCATTAAAACGAGAAAAAACGCGGCTGAATCGGTTAATCCATAGGTTGATAATGTGTATGTCACTTTGAAAAAATTATTTATAATCCATAATTCCATTTTTATGTAAAAATCGGAGAGTAAAAGTTAGCTGCTAATGGTAGCCACCAGAGTTATTGCAGCTTCCCGTTTTGGCTATGCATCACTCTCACTCCTTATTTGGTAATGTGTGTGTGTATGTGGGAGTTCCCCTCGATTCCATTGGATCTGACGGTTAGCAAGAGGTGTCAATCATTAAAATCGACCAAGGGGGGCCAGAGACATGGAAAATCCACCCAAATGACCCCAGAAGTGTTTTTTTTGGTGCTAAATATCTCTAAAAAGGTCAAATTTAACTTGTTTTGCATCGATCTTGATACAGGGTACTTATTATATGTTGTAGTTTGGATTCCTAAAGCTTTTAGTCTACCATCCCATCATTCAAGGGTGGTTTTCACTATAAGTATTTTTTTTCTTTTTTGACGGACACAATAATTTACATTTTTTTACTGTGTTCAATCTGAATTTACTTTAAAATAAAAACATCTATATTGATTCTGACACTTCTACATACAACTCACAGGTGTAACCTTGCTTTGAGAACAAATATTATTAATTTAACCCTTTTAGAAGGGAATATATGGTAATTTTTCTGGGAATGTCATTTTCGAGCCTGAGACCTGAAAAACAGGCTCGGGGCTTAACAGGTTAAATAAACAGTAGTTCAATAATACTGTTGGAGCTGTATATTGATTTGTTATTTAATGGTGGCGGTGGGATTGGTGCACCAGACGAGCATGTGGTTTTTTCCCCGGGAACATAGGATATTCTACAGGAGAAACCACAGGAGAGGCAACCATTGTTCTGTATGTGTAGAGAATAAAAGAACAAACACAACGTTCTCGTCTGGACATCGACTATTTACCTGCGTTAGGACTCGCTCTCTGGTGCCCAGCGGCCTATTTAGTTTAAGTTACGCAGGTCCTTCCTTCAGGCTGTATAACCATCATGGTCCCTGGTAGACCCCCGCACATATAACAACAAAGACTATAACACCCCTTGTTTTGCAATACCAATTATGTGCATATGTCGTTGATAGCTGTGCAATATATACCTGGCTGCTATCTCTCTCAGAACTGTTACAGGATGTGTATTTTGTAAATTGTGTTATTTTTTTATCTTTAATATTTTGTATTGCTGCTTCTTAGTTAACATTAAGCTTTCTTTGGTTATTTTCTTGCTGTAACAAATGCAAACTTACCCTCTATGGCAGTGCTTCTCAAACTCTTTTCAGTAATGTTCCCCCTTTGAAACATTTTCTCAGCCAAGTACCGACCCGAACATTTTTGATCGAAAAAGCCTATACAAATGATTACAATGTAGTGATGTTCCCTCAGTGTGTGATTTATTAACTCCTTCGTGCATGCACAACAAACTAAGGATATTTTCATCTTCATGCATGAAAAACAGATTTTTCCAAGGAGATTTTCAATTTAAGTCATATGTTTAACAAACCAATGAACAATATTATATATTGTGAAAAACTATAAAATACAATACACACATTTGACATTTATATGAGGACCCCCTTGGTGGTTCTAGGAATATTTTATATACAATTGTGTGTTGTGCTTATTGTACTAAGATTATTTTTGTAATCATGCATTGTATTTTTTTAAATAACCTTTTTTTTATTTTATTTTTGAAATCTCACGTACCCCCTGCAGTACCCCAACGTACCCCCAGGGGTCCGCGTACCCCCATTTGAGAATCACTGCTCTATGGGACGAAAAAAGGTGTTCTGATTCTGATTATTTTATCTCTTTGTTTAGCCGTCACAAATACTAAGTATTTATTTATTGTATTATTTCTGCTATTACGGTTAAATGTTTAATTTTATACATTTTTTAACCATGTATTGTTTTACGTTGTATATTGTCATGCTTAGAGCTTTTAATTGCATTCACATTTATATAAATATATATTTTAATGTATTTCATAATTGTTATATGTAGGATTTGTATTTATTTTATTTTACAGTTTTTTGTATTACATGTGCAATTATGAGTTTAATATTAACTGCACAGATGGTCCATTTATCCTATTTTTTCAATTGTTAATGTTTATCATTTAATTTCTTTGCATTTTATTTAGTTTTTATATATTCTTTTAAAACAAATGTTGCATACATGCAATATTATTTTAATAAAGTAAAAGCAATCACATATTATTGGCTCTGTTGAGAACAGTACTTGAGTAAATGTATTTAGTTAAATGTGTTTATGTGTGTACAGCTTGTAAGTTAATGTTGATAAGTAAACATACATACTGTGTGTTTCTTCAGTTCCAGGACGGCGTGTGGACCCTCAGCACCTCGGTCTGTGACTACCTGATGACGATGGACGTGATGCTGTGCACCGCCTCCATCTTCAACCTCTGCGCCATCAGTGTCGACAGGTAAATATTATTGCCGCAAGGGATTGTGGGAAGACATTATCTCACATCCCTTAGTATTTGATGGTTCATAATTCCCTATAGAGTCGTGCAGTGATGAGATTTTTGTAGGCTGACCTGGAAGGTAGCATCACAAGGCCTCGACAAAAATCTAACAGATTTTTTCGTCTGATTACCAAATATTTCAGAAAATAGGATCTCCACACGTAAATTATACTTATATGTTTTGTTCAGCACGATATTAACCCCAATTTTAAGATTTTTGAAGAGTAAATGCGATCGTTCAAGGTAAATAGCTAACGTTAGGCTATAAACGACCTACAGCATGGTCACATGACTTCACGTCACCACCGCTGAGCTAAAGGCGGCTAATGTTGTGCTATAAAGGAACTACAGCACGGTCATATGACTTCACGTCACCTCCGCTAAGCTAAAGGTGGCTAATGTTGTGCTATAAAGGAACTACAGCATGGTCACATGACTTCACGTCACCACCGCTGAGCTAAAGGCGGCTAATGTTGTGCTATAAAGGAACTACAGCACGGTCACATGACTTCACGTCACCACCGCTGAGCTAAAGGCGGCTAATGTTGGGCTATAAAGGAACTACAGCACGGTCACATGACTTCACGTCACCACCGCTGAGCTAAAGGCGGCTAATGTTGGGCTATAAAGGAACTACAGCACGGTCACATGACTTCACGTCACCTCCGCTAAGCTAAAGGAGGCTAATGTTGGGCTATAAAGGAACTACAGCACGGTCACATGACTTCACGTCACCACCGCTAAGCTAAAGGTGGCTAATGGTCGGGGTGATGAGGTTCAGTCGTCTCATTTAGACACTTGTTAGCAACCCCTGATTTTATGACACATAAAAGCTTCACTCAATTACAAGTGGGTTGTTTACTGATGTAATTGATGTTGTAGGACAGACCTTGAAAATCTCTTCAACTTATTTCAGACATCCAACTATCAACCCTTTCAAAAAAAATTTGACTTTGAGATGAGGGAACAGGAAGTAGTAAAATGCGAACACATCTTTATGGTTTTAGGACTCATTACTGCACCGTGCTATGCTAAAACGGAAGCATTGAGGCTCCTTTTCTTAGCATTTAGAGAATTTGAACAGCATACCTACCACTTTATAACTTGGTTTATTTCACTCAGTCAGGAAGCTTCACAAGCAAAAAACACTTTTCCACCAAGGTGTTTTTCAGCTTCAGTCAGGGTCATCCAGCTAATTAATCAAAACCAGAACCCTGAGGTCTTCAGCTCTCCATCTGAAGGGTCAGATCATCGAGCCACAGTTCACTCTAATGCGGAAATATTAGGACAACCTTTTTGTCTTGTTCCTGTAATAGCCCCAAAAGAAGAAAAATGAGAGGATGCGTCCGCGGTGATGAACTGCCGGCATCACTCTGCACTCGTTAGTTTGACACAATGAGATTATCCGAACTCTCGGGCTGATGTTGAAGGATGAAACTCTGGAGCTGCCCCTCAAAGCTGATGTCCCAACTCCAGATAAATATGATTAGAGCCGAGACTGATGGAGGCAGTGGAGCTAACGGGGACTGATGCTGATGATCTGAAGCTTTTTAGAGGATTTACTGTCTGAATAATTTAACAGAGCGGGCAGGAAACAAATCGTGAAGGTCTGCAGAGTCCACCTGGCTTCTGGTTCCTCTGCAGGTTTGATTTAACATCAAACTGACTGATGACCTGCTGTCATTCAGTGATGGATTACTGAACAATGCCACGGCCCCCAGGACTGAGTGGGCCTTTGAGACAGAGGATGTAGACTATGTATTATTGTCACCACACCAGAATGTTTTCTGTCCATATTGTTGCTCCTGAAGTCCTAAATTAAGGGACTCATTTGACATTTTGGCAAAACCAATTAGGTTAGCTTAGCATAAAGACATGCAACCACGTCGCCTGAAAATGGATGTTGCCGTATGACTAAACTGCATCCTCAAATACCATTCTAGGGAATTATATTTTCCCGGGTCGCAGTTTTTAATGCGTTGTTAAAATGATAAATTAAACAAAAAACGGTAAAGCTTAGAAAACATTTCCTGATTTTAGACTTTTTTCTAGGAATTCAGATTTTTTCCCCCAGAATTCAGACTTTTTTCTCAGACCTCAAAACTAAAAATCACTTTTGGCCTGATCCCCAAAATGTGGACCTTATCCTCCTCCGTAGAATAGGGGTGAAAATAGGACTTCAGATTATAATTTGATGAGGAGTTGATAAACTAAACGTCTCTCCAGAGGTTGAACCCTTTACATTTCAATGACGCCATGACCTTTCCTCTAGCAAACAAACTGTACGTATTTAGTTTAGTTTAGTTTATTTGTTTATAGTGTCGTGGACAGTTCCCATTAATCCACTGTCACAAACAACAGTAAACGGGGCAGTTTTAGCCAACATTGCTAATTTCTATCAATCAATCAATCAATGTTTATTTATATAGCCCAATATCACAAATATTACATTTGTCTCAGTGGTCTTCACAGTGTGTACAGAATATCAGTATGACAATACAACACCCTCTGTCCTTAGACCCTCTGTCCTCAGACCCTCTGTCCTTAGACCCTCTGTCCTTAGACCCTCACATCGTACAAGGAAACACTTCCGGAGAAACCCCACAGTTTAAGGGAAAAATGGGAGAAACCTCAGGGAGAGCAACAGAGGAGGGATCCCTCTCCCAGGACGGACAGACGTGCAATAGATGCCGTGTGTAAATCGAAGAGATAATACATTTGCAACATAGGTAGTCCAAATGTTTGGAAATGCATTTTTCCAGCTGTTGTCCCCGGCCAGATGATAATGGACACCTTTTTAAAATCACAATACATCAACAGCATTGAGGCGCAGTGCCTTTGCACAAACTGCAGTTTCATTTACGGCCATCAAACACTGGAATATTCTTCTAGTTGAACTTAAAACCTGTACTGACTTTAACTCTTTCTCTTATGGTGCAAAACAATTGATCTTAAGCAACCAGTCATGCCAACATTAATTACACTGTAACCTGGGTTTTTCAATCTTAACTGTATTGTAATATTATATTTTAACTGTTCTATGTATTATTGTATTGACCTGTACTTAAATCATGTTTTATAATTGTTTGTGTGATAGAGATTATGCAATGTTTGTTGATTGTTATGTACCTGCCCAAGGACTGCAGATGGAAATGAGCTATTAGCTCAAATCTGGCATAATTCATCTCTTCTCTTTTCTGAGATTAATGTATTTGCATTGCTTGTTGAAATGAATACATAATAATCATAAGCATTAGTTATAAAGCAAGGATGAAAGGATTTAAAGCTACACACTAAAACCTTCTCTGCCGTGTTGCAGGTTCATCGCTGTAGTCATCCCTCTGAACTACAACAGGAAGCACGTGGACATGCGTCAGACGGTGCTGCTGTCGGCCACCTGGGTCGTGGCGCTGGCCGTGGCGTCGCCCGTCGTGTTCGGCATCAACAACGTGCCGGGCCGCGACCCCACCGAGTGCAAACTGGAGAACGACGACTACGTGCTGTACTCGTCCGTGTGCTCCTTCTTCATCCCGTGTCCCATCATGCTGCTGCTGTACTGCGGCATGTTTCGAGGCCTGAGGCGATGGGAAGAAGCTCGGAGAGCCAAGCTGAAGAACAGTATTCTGGACTGCCGGAAGCTTCAAGAAACGGCCGCTGCGCTGCCGGCGCTCGCCGCTCTGCCGCCATTACTGCCGCCCGTCATCAGAGGTGGGAAGTAGTGGAGTACAAATACTTCGTTACTACTTAAAGGTCACCTATTATGCAAAATGCACTTTAAACACGAGTATCTGTACTTCTACTTGAGTAAAGGATGTGTTTACTCTTGCCTCCTTATAGAGAGGGAGCTGACGGAGAGTCCGGAGCAGCAGTCTACCTTCAAGTCCTCCAAAAAGTCCTCGGAGTTAAAGGGCGGCCCCGTGCCCACCGTCAGCTTCTCAGAGATCAAGTACAACCAGGAACCTCGCCGGAGAAAAACGGCTAAGATCAACAACCGGGAGAGGAAGGCCATGAAGGTGCTTCCTGTCGTTGTAGGTAAGGTTCACTTCCTGTCTAACGAGTTACATTACATTACATTGCATTTAGCTGACGCTTTTATCCAAAGCGACTTACAATAAGTGCGTTCGACCAACAAAATACAAACTTGAAGAAAACAGAATCATATAAGAACATCAGGTTTCATAGAGCAAAAACATTTCAAGTGCTACTCAACTGGCTTTAGATAAGCCAGTCCTTTATAGTGCTTTGTTAGTAATTCTATCGCTCGAAGTGGAGTCCTAGTAGTTACTACTATCATATGTATCGGTATGTACTATCATATGTATATACAGTATGTACTATCATATACAGTATATTATGAGCCTATATTTCTGCTACTGCAGTATTTTTGACCTTCCAAAAAAAGTCCAAGTACTCAGGAGTCAGATTTTACAGTATTATATTATTAAAGATTTATATTGAACAGTTTTTATTCACAATTAATGACTGGTTATAAAATGGGCGCTGGAAGGTACTTGAACGCCTCACACCCATCTGATGTGTGTTCAGAGGCACTAACACAACAGTGAGAAAAGGTCGTCCTATTCATAGCAGTGAGTGTTGGTTCTAGTGCGTAGAAGTGCTTCTCTTTAGCACACAGCGGCTAATCCTGCAGCTCCTTAATCTGAAATCCAGTTATTACGTAAAGCTTGTCCCATGGTCTCATGAACCTCTCATTAGCTCAGGAGACAGCATGTCTTCACAATAATAAGTCACTCATTTGCAATGCAATGTATCAAATTCATTTCTGCAGGAAGAGAATCAGATTACGTTTGGTGTTGTGTTCCTCACAGGATTCTTCATCGTAAAAACAGTACATTTACAAGTAAACTTTAGCTTTTTTAAATAACAGATTCTCACAACTCTTACCATCGATTTAAAGAGGCCCTGTTTTGGGGGTTTTAGTGCATGCTAACGGTCTGCAAAGGCTGAAATCCCTGTGAGAGTAACTGTAACTCTAATTAGAATATTTAACTGATACATTTTTTAGTTATAGTTAAAAGTATTGTTTGTAAATATAAAATAATGTAACCTTTAAACCTGTAACCCAATTTTTTAGTACTCAGAATCCTGACGTACTTTTTTTTCTAAAAATGTAGACTTTTTTTCTCGGAATTCAGATTATTTTCTGGGCCCTCAAAACAAAAATCCCTTTTGGTCAGATCCCAAAAATAATTCACATTGCCCTAATCCTCCTAGAAAAGTGATATTTGAAATTGGAATCTGATTCTATCACTTGAAAGTCAACCGGAGTTGATTGCTTAATTGAATTAAGTTGAACTCAACGGCTTCTTCAGTTGTGCTATTTGGGAAATGTGTGTCCTCACCTAGCCTCGCGTGGATGGTGAAGATTAGAAGCCAAGGATTAGTCACTTTCAAAGCGTTCGGCCTGACCTGAGAGCAGCAGTTTGACGACTTTCTTCTGCACCTGTTGGTAGAAAGCAGTTCCTTGTGATGGCTCCACAGGATTTTTGACATCCACCTGGATTCAACTTATTATTATAGACACATACATTTTAAAACATTTGGACTACCTACGTTGTAAATGTATTATCTTTTCAATTTACACACGGCATCTATTGCACGTCTGTCCGTTTTGAAATGTACTTGAGAATGTTCCTGACTGATATGGACGGGTAAAGAGTTCCAGCTGAGCATGGCTGTAACTGACTGTTTTCTGTCTCATATTTGATTTTGATTTAGATTTGGGTAATACGAACCTTCCTACTATTGCATGTCATGTTTGATAGTTATGTTGGGCATACTGCGCTATAGACCCTTGTAAGTGAGTCACTGTAATATTTCGGACAAAATGTAACACCTGACTTCTTCTCCCTGTCTTCCTGCAGGTGCCTTCCTGTTCTGCTGGACTCCGTTCTTCGTGCTTCACACGGTGAGAGCTCGATGTCAGGACTGCTACGTTCCTCCGGCTCTGATGAGCGTGGTGACGTGGCTCGGATACTTCAACAGCGCCCTGAACCCCGTCATCTACACCGTGTTCAACACAGAGTTCAGGAAGTTCTTCAAGCGGTTCCTGCACAGCTGCTTCTCCAAGAACGCCTCATGAACACTCGAGATGCTGCAGGAAGAGACGCCTTTTTTTATTCCAACGAGACACTACGGATGTTCTTTTAGGGTCTGTCCATTGTTTCAGTGATTTTTCTACATAAGAAAGGTTTGTTTGAGCTTCCTGTGAAGAGGCTAAAGAACAAACTACCTCAAACCAACAAGAACGGATTTTATATGTCAGATCTTTTTAGAATAAAGGTTTTTATAAAAAAAGACTCCAGAGAGATGCATTCACTTGTGTTGAAAACTATGGGACATATTTGATCCTACAGACTAATAGAAATGAATTGTGTGAAAACTATATGACTCTTTTTTCCTGTTATTACATTTTGTGTAAATGTCCTCTTCTCCCTCCTCCTCATCGAATCCAGATCTTCATCATCTTCCTCTTGCCATCTCCTCATCAAATCCAAATCTTCTTCATCCCTTCTCCTCATCAAATCCAGATCTTCATCACCACCACCAGTGTCTAGACCCCAAAAGGGGGCTTCCTAATATACTCACGGCTGCACTTCCCCCTTAAGATATATACGATCGGGGATCAGGGCCTAATCGCTCAAGACTATTAACATTTCCATCATGGCGCATGCGTAAATAAATGTTCTTTAAACTAAAAATGAAGTCTCTCCTGATTGAAATATTCTCTATCTGTATCCTGCAGGTCAGAAATGGCTGGAAAGTTTATCTGTCCTCGTGCTTTTGGCCAATTTTGTGTGTCTTAGTTTCATCATCCAATTAAAATGTTTATATCAAACATTCGCTCCAATAAATAAACCTTAACAAATACATAATGAGATGAATAAAAAACACTAACAAATTACAATTAGGAAGGTTTTATACAATATATTTCAGATCATAAATCTGCTTCTTCACTGGTGTGTGATGATAACAATACAATATATCTGTTTTATTCTGACCTTGAGTTTTAGGACGTTTTCTCTCAGACTTCAATCATCTCAAGATTCATTTTAGCAGCCGAATACGAAGATTATTTATTTAAGTTGCTAACCATCATCAGTCAGGTGCCGTGTCTCCTGATAAATCACAGCTTACACAATGACAGAAAATATGATAAAAGAGTGTCTGCTGCTGCTCACTGATAGAGAAGCTGCCACACAAACTGTAAATGTATACACAAACGTTAAATGTCTTCTTTAAATCAGTCGCTCCCAAACAATTTCTCCTTAAGGGACCCTTTCCTATGAACAACTAAACTGAAGACCCCTGGCTCTTTTCCTCCTCCTTTCCATTCATATTATATATTTGGGTGATTTGAAGATTTTGTCATGAATGACTCAATAGAGCGGTGCAGGGGTGACGTATTTACCCGGAAGTAAGCTGCTGGTTCCCTCGTCAAGAAAGCAACGGGATTTCTCCATAGGATTTTGGAAAATAGCTCGAAATAAGGTCTCTGGAAAACGAGCCTGTTTGATAAATGCACGTTTTGTTCAGCCGGATAATCTCCACATGTCTACCCTACATTTATAATGTTCAAATCATAAATGTAATCGCCAGAAGCTAAATGCTAACGTTATGCTATAAAGGAACTACAGCCGAGTACAGCAGCACGACTTCAACGTCACGCCGACTTAAGATCCATATTCAAACATACAGATTCTAAATGGTACAAGTTGAAGCGTTTGTTTTAACAGTTTGCAGCAGGCAGGTACTTGCTTTCAAGAAGAACAGGGCAAACTAACTTAGAGGAGTGTTTACGTGTTCGGCGTAATGACGTACAACGGCCTGGACAACTTCTGTAGTCCTATTCAGCCACTTGGTCACAACCATCGTTTTTCAGACACGTAAACTCTTCAGAAATCACCAGTGGGGTCACTGCTGATGGATTTAATGTCGTAGAACAAAACATGATCCGTCTCTTAAATGTGTCTCAACCACAGACCTTATTTCCAGATATTTTCCAAAATCCTATGGAGAAATCCCATTAGCCACTTTCACACCAAGTACTTTGCCTACTTAGTTGCCCAGCAGCAGTTAGGTGCCCAGCACTTAGTGCCCTCATGCAGGCCCGGTTCCAGAACAAAATGACTCAGGGTGCATCTGAGATTAGAGAGGGTGCAGTGGTAAAGTGCTATTTTTATAAGTGGGGAGTGGACCTAACACCCTCTAGGGGGTCCTCATCTCCTCTAGGAGGGTCCTCACCTCCTCTAGGTGGGTCCGGGGGCATGCTCCCCCGGAAATAATGTTTTTTTAAATATTGAAGTTAAAAGCATCAATCTGGTGCACTTTGAGAGCAAAATTAAGAGATCTATGGATCTATGTGCTCCTTGCTTGATTCATGCCTTCCCAGTCCCTTATCACGTACCCTATAAGAGCATGGCGCCAGTTGTAGTAGCCAGTTGTGGTGAAGGCATCTGACTCACTTGAACCGAAATGTCTACATGCATAGCAGAAGATGGCGTCTTTTTTACATGAATATTCCAGCCAATCTCTGTTTTGAAACCATGAGCTGCAAAATGAGTAGCCTACAGACGAGTTGGGCACTTTTTTAAATATACCTGGGCAGGCTCTGTTTTGCCGAGGTCCTCTGGCACTTGCGGGCCGCTGAGGGGTGGCGGTGTTTGGGGCAACAAAGACGGCTGTGGCTGCTCCGCCTCTGTGGGCGAGGCGGGCAAAGCTGGCGAGTCGGGCGTTATTGTCCACGACAGTGGCCGCGGGCAACGTAATGTCCCCATGATCTGAACTGTTATTACCTGCAGTAGATGCAGTGTTACTGCTGGCGATAAGGGCTGGTTGTTTTAACCATTTTCTGATGTCCATCACTGACACTGATAGCTTTGTAAGAACCTTGCAGATGACGAACGCGCAGCGGCACAGGTCACACGCACCTGACATAATAACGTTACTTACCGTTTAAATTGACCAAATAAATGCAGCAATTTTATTTAACCACAATTCCAATTTATTTTATTTCAACTAAATTCTTCTTATTATTATTATTATTATATATGTAATATATTTTTTTTTTCACTTTTCATTTTTCAAATGAGGGTGCATAACGACTCAACTGAGGGTGCAATGCACCCTTATGCACCCCCGTAGAACCGGGCCTGCCCTCATGGAACTAGTAGTTCCATGAGGGCACTAAGGAACATCAGCAGGAGAGGACTCTTTAAAGTAGAGACACTACATACTGATATACACCTCAACATCAGCAGGAGAGCACTCTTTAAAGTAGAGACACTACATACTGATATACACCTCAACATCAGCAGGAGAGCACTCTTTAAAGTAGAGACACTATACTGATATACACCTGAACATCAGCAGGAGAGCACTCTTTAAAGTAGAGACACTACATACTGATATACACCTCAACATCAGCAGGAGAGCACTCTTTAAAGTAGAGACACTACATACTGATATACACCTGAACATCAGCAGGAGAGGACTCTTTAAAGTAGAGACACTACATACTGATATACACCTGAACATCAGCCGGAGAGGACTCTTTAAAGTAGAGACACCACATACTGATATACACCTGAACATCAGCAGGAGAGGACTCTTTAAAGTAGAGACACTACATACTGATATACACCTGAACATCAGCAGGAGAGGACTCTTTAAAGTAGAGACACTACATACTGATATACACCTGAACATCAGCAGGAGAGGACTCTTTAAAGTAGAGATACTACATACTGATATACACCTGAACATCAGCAGGAGAGGACTCTTTAAAGTAGAGACACTACATACTGATATACACCTGAACATCAGCAGGAGAGGACTCTTTAAAGTAGAGACACTACATACTGATATACACCTGAACATCAGCAGGAAAGGACTCTTTAAAGTAGAGACACTACATACTGATATACACCTGAACATCAGCAGGAGAGGACTCTTTAAAGTAGAGACACTACACACTGATATACACCTGAACATCAGCAGGAGAGGACTCTTTAAAGTAGAGACACTACATACTGATATACACCTGAACATCAGCAGGAGAGGACTCTTTAAAGTAGAGACACTACATACTGATATACACCTGAACATCAGCAGGAGAGGACTCTTTAAAGTAGAGACACTACATCATAATTGAATGAAAAAAATTAACACTACAGCTTCATATCTCTTAAAGATAATCCTTTTTTTTTAATCATGTACATATACAAGATATTATCTTATGCAAAGATGTTCTGAACTGAAACGTTCACATTATATAAACTGGGTCTTTTAGTTGGAAGCAAACACACAAAGAAACCTTGTAAACAATTCATAGTCACTCTAATTGTAAAATAAGAAAAATACCATTAACAAAGGACAACAGATAGCTCATGTCTTCCTATCAGCCAGGGTGGGGCGCGTTAATTTAATAATATTTCCTTTTAGTTTATCGATGTGTTGACCTTTATTTAAACCAGGACTGTCTCTGGACAGAGATTCGAAATTAGTTTAGCGTTAAAGGTCGGGAAAGTCTGTTTAATCAAACAGCAGAAAAAAAAGATTCACTGAGGGAAGACGAGAAATAAAAAACACCATTAATTAAAAAACGTATAAATAAAGTGAATTACAGATTGATTGATAATGACATAAGTGGTTATCTGCAGCCCTATGGCATATTTTCTGGAACTTCTATCAACAAATATACAGTTTATCATGTCTGTAGTTTCAAATCGGGACATCCCAGACGTTCCTCTTCCTGTCGAGAGGGATTTCTCACAATAAAAGTTCAAGTTAGGAGATTTTAAGTTTTGACATCTCCTCCTCTCGGCGCCATATAAGGACTTCCTGTCTGATTGCTCCTTCATTTGACTTTGTCCAGTTCCAGGGCTGTGATTGGCTCCTCTTCCAGAACAGACACGCCCCCAGATGATTGACAGCAGGTGTGCTGGTGCTCCTTCCAGTCCTGCAGGAGGAAAAAAATAAATAATAAATACAAAAAAAAGCTTCAGATTCAAGACAGAATTCAGACTTTTTTCTTAGAACTCTCACACGTCAGAAAAAAAAAAGACTTCTGACATTTTGTTTATTTTTCAGACTTTTATCAGAAGACTCTTTTTCTCCTTTGAATTCTGAGAGTCAGAATTTTTCTAAAAAAAATGACTTTAAACACAGAACAAAAAAAAAGTTTGCTTTTGATAAAATCCCCCCCCCTTTTACATATGACCTAAAGTACGGAGTCAGATTTGGGTCAATATTCTAGCGCGTAAAACAAGCTACTCACGAGCGGAAAATGTGCTTTTACACGCGCATAAAATGACCCTCGCGAGCAGATTAAACCCCCGCGAGCGGCTCTGCGCCCGCGAGCGGCTCTGCGCCCGCGAGCGGCTCTGCGCTGTACACTTTACGAATATAATAGTTTTTTATGGACAACTTTACCATTCAATCTCGTCCAACTGATCTTGCAGCTGTCACTCCTCGGCTCTTGGTAGTTCAGGCATTTATCAAACCTGGCAACTCCGGGTTTCCTGGCAGCTGTCAATCAAAGTCCAGTGGCTCCGCCCCAAAGTGCCAGAAACTTTTCACACGCGTAGACAGACTCCGCGAGGCTGATACTCCCGCGAGCGAGCAAGAGGGCTAGAGCCACTCGCGGGCGCAGAGCCGCTCGCGGGGGTTTAATCTGTGCGCGAGGGTCATTTTATGCACG